CAAATCACTTGAATCCTTTATCTGTACTGTAAACTCTGTATTTTATCCACACTCTCAATGTTAAAACTGAAAGTACTTTAAGATCATGTAGCTGGCAAGCCACAGCATCAGGATTTAAGCCCAAATTGGTTTGACTCCAAAGTCACCAGGATTAGTTGCCCTTTTGCAGTGGTTAGTGACTTTACCCCAAAGGATGTTCTCCCTACTTCCATTTTAAAAAAATAAATAAAGTAACAAGAATAAAAACAACATTTGCATTACTTACCTACTTTATTGAAATTAAAACGAGCATTATCTTGGTACCAGCCACCTGGAGTAGTTCGCGCAGCTGGTATCTGAATGAATTATATTATAGGAAAACAACATTCAACATGGCATCTGAGGAGGTGTGTTCAGTTCGAGAGGAGCTGCTTCATTATCATGTCCTCCCCTAAAACAGGTCCTGTGAGCTAATGTTTGCAAAAGCCTCCTACCAGCCTAAGGAACCAAAAGTGAGCCTGTGTGGTCATGGGGCTGTTACAGAAGTGACCCCCCTGCCCCAGGATTTTTTTTTTTTTAATTTTTGCTATGGTTCTTTGCCTGCCACCATGTTAGGAACAGGGGCTCTCAGTGACAGAGTTTGGTAAAAAGGAAAGGAACTTACTTATTCAAAAGTTATGCAGGTAGAGAGTAACAGCAGAATGTCACCATTAAATCCTGAAGTCCCTTTAAAACACCCCCCCCCCACACACAATCCTGCCTCCCCTTGCCAAGCCAGGCCAGTCAGGGTACCGTCTCCCAGGAAAAGAAACAGAAGTCCATAGCTTGGCTAGGCTCCCGTTGTTAATCCAAAACCACATCCTCATGGTGGGCCGGGGGGTTCTTCTGCGTCCTTCCAAACCACTAAGAGAGAGGTCCACATTGCTGCTATATCCTGCTTTCCTTTTTCCTAAGCCGTGTGGGCGAGAGAGCCCTCTCTCTGCTCCTGAAACTGCCTGGTTAAGCTCCTGCATGGCTGCTGCGCCCGGGTTTAAATCCTGGTACAGATCTTCCTCCATAACCCCATTTCCGACTCCTCCCACAGTCAGCTATACCTGCTAGCACTCCGTTATTTTCTGGGCCTTTCTTGGCTGCCAAAGTTAGTCTGGGCAGGCGTGGGCCCATGGTGTGGATCTAACTATCTCCAAGCTTTCAAGAAGGGACTGTAACAGGGTGGGGGTCTGAGGTGGGGGGTAGAGGGGGTGGGGAGAGTTGCCTTCCAGCTACATCACAGGTCAAAGTCTTGCATATCTCCTTGACTCCATGCAGGCTATAAAGCTAGCCTGCTGTTATTGATATGCAAAATCCCTGTGCTGCTGCTTTCCCCAGCCCCCAAGCTAGGGTTCTGAGGCCTCTTGGCCTATACCCTGTTTAGTCTACACCCCATTAAGTGGCCACACCAAACAGCTAGACAGCAGCAGCCCATCACTTCTCTATCAAAGCACAGGGACGCATTCGCCTGCTCAGGTGAGTGGCCTGAGCATCCAGAAGCCTATGGGAGAGCCACAAGCCAAGTGCTTTCTTCCATTTCCAGTAGAATGTGGTTTGTTTCAAAGACAAAACCAAAGAATAAGGTCATTGCTGATGGCTTCTGTCTCACACTCGTCCACCGTAAAGAGTGGAACACAGATGTGAACCACTCTCTTCTTGCTCTGAACAGAGCCCAAGAGCCCCCACCACACTGGTGTTTGGCTCAGCTGCCAAATCTCAAATGTGTGCAGGAACGAATGTGTATGAGGAAAGCAATGCTAGTTTTAATCTCCATCATGCTGGATTAGATTAAGTCCTTGGCCAGAATAGCTCAGCCATATCTCATTGACCAAAGGCACTTTGGCAGTAAATTACCGTATGATACCACACTATAAAGCAGGACTTATTATACCTTGAGGCTACCTAGAAAATGAGGCCACAGGAAAGGACACCTTGGGGTCTAGGAACGTTTGGTGCCCTGTTGCTATCTCAAGACAGTGCAATATGCAGACGTGCAAAAAGCCAGAATGGTGATGTTTTTGTATTAACCGGAAAAGGCCACCTGGCTGTTCACCAGCTGCCCCTTCTAGCACCAAATGTAGGTTTTCCATCTGTACAATAACTCAGAATGCAAACAGAAGCAGAGTCTAAGATATCATCAATCACAACCTCCTTTCATTTTGTAGATGGGAGAACCAAGATCTGAGAGAGGATGTTACTCAGCCAGGGACAGCAGAGTCGCACAGAGAAATTGGATCCCCGGAGTCCCACCACATGATGCTCTGGTCCCTGGAAAACATGCACAGGAGATTCTTTTTCCTAGAGGGGAATTAGAGTTGTAATAATCAAGGGCACAGACTCTGTAGAGAGTAACTCAATTCTAATGTAACTCTAAGTGTATAAGTTGTATAACCATAGTCAAAGTACTTAAGTGCTCTGTTTTTCAGTTTTTCCATTAGCATAATGAGAATGTCAACGGTACATAGCTCAGTCTGTTTTGTAAAGGTTAAATGAGCTAATATATGTTTAGCCTTTAGAATCATGCTTGTCACATAAAGTGCACAATATGAATATGTGTTATGATGATCATCCTAAGCAAACTGAAGAGCCTGTATATCCACTAAGTCAACATCATGGTTTCCACTCTTTTTGGAATGTTCAACTGAAGCTGAACTGTGGTTGTAAATACCCTGCCTGATCAGCACTGACCATCTATGACAGCTGCCACATCTTTGTGACTGCTTATTTTACTTAGCATAATGTCCTCAAGGTTCATCCATGTTGTAGTATGTGACAGGATTTCCTTCTTTTTGAATATTTCATGGTATATATTTACCGCATTTTTTAAATACATTCATCTGTCAATGGACATCCTGTTTGCTCTCCCCTATCTCTTGACTATTATGAATAATGCCAATGTAAATACGAGTGTGCAAATGTCTCTTTGATATCCTGCTCTAAATTCTTTTGGATACAAACCCAAGAGTGGGATTACTGAGTTATCTGGTAATTTTATTTTTAATTTTTTGAAAACTCATCATAGTGTTTTCTATTGTGGCCGCACCATTTTACATTCTTGTCAACAGTGTAAAAGGGTTCAAATTTCTTCATATCTTTATCAACACTTATGATTTTTTTTTTAATAATAGCCATCCTAATGGCTATGAGGCTGTTACTCATTGTGGTTTTGTGTGGTTGTTTTCTTTTTAATTACAGTTGACATTCAATATTATTTTATATTAGTTTCAGCTCTGCAGCATAGTGGTAGACATTTAAAGAAACATATGGGTTTTACAAATCTGTGGTGCTCATTTTCTTATAGAATTTATTTAAAAATCTAAATTATCATTTTCAGAAGACACTATAGAAAATTACCTTGAACTTTAACTTGGGCATTTTCCAACTCAGTGGATTCTGTAGGCCAGTGTGTTCCCTTTGGATATAGGTTTGAATTGATGGACGCCCCAGAGTCAGGCTACTTTCCATAAATATTTATGGAGCCTCCACGGAGATTGTAGCACTGAGCTAGGGCCTTTATCCTGCCCTTGTCTATAAATACTCTCTAAAAAAAATGCAGAGAAACATGAGCCAGACTCTCAAGCTATCAGGTAAAAATGAATTATTTGTCAATAAGAGAATTATGTACATTGTAAATCAGAGGAAGGAAAGTTATCCCTCTTGAAATCCCTGAAGTTGGAACAGTTGCACACTTACCACTGAAGTGAGAGACCTATGCTTTCCCAAGCAGTGGTTAGCATCAGTCCCTTCCAAGACAGGACACAGATCCACACCATCAGGTTGACAAGCCAGATGATTGGGTCCTGCCTGAGAAGACCATACACCATCTCTACTTTTTAAAAAGAGCCATACTCATTTCCAATAAGGCAATTTACTTCTAAAAAGGCAGTGTAGTCTTGGCTTGAAAAGGTAGAAGAGGCATGCTTGTCTTGCCACAGGCCCTGCAGGATTACCCATTGATGGCTGCTAATCACTTAGCTTGCACTTGCTTTTGCTTTCCCTGAAATACTCTGCCTGATAGTTAGTGGTCTTACTTAAGACCCTAAATTATTATCACTGGCAAGTAAAGGCAATGGAGGAGCACAGAGGCAGAGTTAGACAGAGGCATATCTGCCCTGGGCCCTTCGAACAGACTAGGACAATTCCACTTCCCATGGTTTGTCTTCTCAAGGACAGAAGATGAAAGGAAAGGGCTAGCACTTGTGATTCTATTGCCTCATTCAATGGAGTGTGAAGGATTCACTAGGGCTGGGTGAAGGGCCAGAAGGAGGGGAGAAGAAAGAAAGAGGCACAGAGAGAACTCCTTCAGGCTGAAGCATTAAGTGGCAGTTTGGACTTGAAAGATTGTCTTTTTTGTTCCTTCTGAAGAGGCCCCACTGACTGATGGGATAAACCCAATTGTCACCTTTAAAATTCTTGCAGTTTCTTCCTCAACCACTTCTGAGGAACCTCCAGGATAACTAAGTTACACAGCACAAAAAGCCAGCCACATCCGCACATACACTCCTGTCGCTCACAAAATGGTCCTGGTCCTGCTGCTCACACAATGTTACTCCCCCAGCCCCGCCTGCTTCTCTCCATTCCAGATCCTCTCCTGCGCCCCATGGCTATCCTTTCTACTCTCATCTTCAGGACACTAGCTCCGAAGACAGAGTTAGAGGCGCTGCTTATGAAGTGGCCACCTGGTCCTGCCATACCATTTAGCCCTGTCTGCAGCCTATAGGCCTGACTGTCGTTACCTCCCTCCTCCCCCATGTTTTGAGTTCCATCATTCAGAGTAGGATATAGTGGTCAAGGCATCCCATGGATTTGCCCCTTTGAGTTTCTAAATGCTCCCCATGGCACTTCCCATTTGTCTAGACCTAGAAGGGTCAGTGGTGGGAGTGAAAGATGGGGGAACGTTCACAGAGAAGCATGTCTATATATTTGCTCATTGATACGTATGGTGCCTTTAGGTGCATGCTAATGGCTCTGTCTCTCTTTCCCCTACACAGGGCCTGGAGCAGTCATTGATGGTGTAAACTCGGCCTCTAGAGCGCTGGCTTGTCTCTGGCTATCAGGGACCCTCTTTGCCCACTTCTTCATCAAGTTTTGATAAGAAACCATAGGTTCTCTGAGCAACGCCTGCTTCTCCATATCACAGACTTTAATCTACACTGCGGAGGGCAAACCAGTTTGGGCTTCTTTTTGTTTCTTTGTTTCTGATATTCTTCTTGATTATTTTATTTTTGGGTTTTATTTGGTTATTCGATATTTTTTTCAAGTTTAAATGAGTGGGGTTGGGGGAGGGGTGGGCAGGGTTCTACCATGTGTAGAATAATCAATCATTCATTGGTGTGTCCAAAAATGGAATATGTTCCTGCTAGTTTGGCCCTTCCCTTTCCTCTGCTTCCTTCTTCATTGTCATCATCATTGACCTCTCCTCCCCCTCACACCAAAACATGAGCTCCATTGGGGCAAAAAACGTGCCTCATGATAAACACCCTGAAGACACAACTTGACTTATAATGTAGTGCACAGCAAGAGTTATATCCAAGTGTCCTATTATCTGTGTCTTTTAAGCTTTGAACCATTTTCCTGATTATAATGTACATATATCCCTCTATCCATGTTTATTATTATCTAATTATATTAGGGTTCACATCCTTTCTTTCTGGGAAGTTATCTCAATGTGTATGTGTATGTGTGTGTGTGTGTGTGTATGTGTGTATATATATATGTACATATATGTATGTGTATATATATATATATATATATATTCTTACCCTATTTGTATTTATCACCAGCTACAGTTTTGGGGCTATTCATTCAACCCAACACTAAAAATTTAAGTCAAATGACCAAAAAGCGGGGGAGGCATTTTGAGAATAGCACTTCTCTTTTTAAAAAATGCTGTCCAACTTATAAAAAAATGATTCATAGATGGCTGATTATTTAGGTTTTATCAAGCTATCTATCAAATAAATCATACAGTTATCCATCTACTCAACTGTCTGATTTATCTCTCCATTCAATTATCTACCCACCCATCTTCCTCTCTAGCAAACTATTTACTCTATTTATCAATCTATCAATGTAATCATCTAACACTTCTTTCTATTTCTTCCCCCACTACTCACTACCAATTCATCACCATATTAATGTCTAATCATATTATATCTATTCAACTGTATTCATTTCTCCCCTACCTTCAACAGACATTAGCATCTTCAAAATTACCTATCAACTTCCCATGTGAAAGCCAATGATCTCACAGGCTACCAACATAGAAAAGCAATATATCATGGACTCTGGAATATGGTGTCTCATCCACCCAAAGTAGATGTTGTTAACAGATGGACCAAAGTGGAATTCCAATGATCAGTCATTCACTATTCCCAGAAGAGACTCTGTTTCCAAAAACATTTTCTTGGGAAGTAGGTTGACCCTGTAGAAGCCTTGATACATACTGTATTTTTCTTTTTTCACACTTGAAGGACCAAGGCTTCTCTCAGCCTTTCAAGAAAGTGTATGTCAGGGACCTCTGAGATTTATGCCATATCTGGCTTTTCTTTATAGTATGAACATAAAGGAAAATACACACTTCTGTCTGTGGAATGTGATGAGGGCCGTCCACCTGTCTGAGTGCAATGACTTCAGCTATTATCTCCTCTCTGCTCCAGTCTTAGTTTAATCTGTTGGAAAACTACCAGTAAGAAAGCTGATGAAGCCAATTACATGGTGGGTGTGTTGACAACTCTGGTATTTGTTTCAGGAAGCTCCTCTGAGTTGAGGAGGGCACTTGAGCAACTGACTTAATTTCCAACACTTGATTAACACAACACTGCAAAGAGAAGGGGGAAAGAATAAGTGACACACAATTTCCTCTGATACAGCTTCTTCTCCACTGGCCTGGGTGAAGGATGTCTTCAGCTCTCCACCTTCCAAGCAGACCCAGCATATGACCTTTCTGCATTATCACTGGGGCAAAAAGGACTCAACCATCAGGAAGCCTGTGATCCAGTAGAATGTCATTGAAAGCCACATAAGGCTGTGCTCCTCCTTACCTGTGCTGCAGGGACCGACCTAATGAGAGGACAGGAAAGAAACATCGACAAGGACTATCTCACAGACCTGCCCCCTTCCTCAGTGGGAAAACTCTTCTGGGAAAATAATACATAATAAATGGTGTGTGGAGATTTTACACACACACACACACAATATACACATACACACACACATACTGTCTTGGCATACAAAAAGCTATACTTTCATAGGAGTTAGAGGTGGTACAAGTGAAATTAATATTATATTTGCCAGCTGTAAACAGACATCTGCATTTCCTAGTGAACCGCCAGGAGCCAGATTCTGGGAATGTAAGTGATGTGCCAAAAGCAGTATATTGGTTCCAAGTTCCAGGGACAATTATGAGCAGGCATCAAGTCATAATTAAAAGTTGGACATCAGTGCTTCATATCTGTCACCACATTCAGCACCTGGAGTTGTGTTGGTGTCAGACATTGTATGAGAATTAAATGTGTCATTGGAGTGTTCTACTGGTAGCAAATGTGTTACTTTGAGTCAAATGAATGTGGAGGCTGTGTGGTGTTGGTGGTTCTGGAGAATAGGGACCCTGAAATGGACAGGCTGTACATGCCCTTCACTTCGAGATGCATTCTAGAAGAAGGGTCCATCCTCCTTTGCAGGAAGGTCACCGGAACCGTTTGAACACAGCAAGGCTGGGCTGCCGAGTCACTGGGACACTCCCCATGCCCTCTTTTACTGGGTGTTGAAGCACCTGTGGGAGTTGCCTATTCCAGCCACATTTCAAAGGGGGAGAAACCTACAGCCAATCCTCATCAGCTGGTGATAAAAAAAACCAAGTAAATGAGACCCAAAGAAACTGGTCACTGGGAAAGAAAATCGCTCTTCTTCACAAGAGATGCACCCCAGCTCCTGTGTTGTTTGGGTTACTTTGATGGGGATGGCTCTCTATGACAGTAGTTCTTCCCCAACTTTCTGAGGCATATAGAACACTGGATGCTTACTGAAGACAATGTCCACACTTCCACATGCTCTTTCAACTTTACACATGGAGGGTAGATGGGTAAGGACTGCCAGATAGATTTTTTTCAAGGTGTCAATAGTGAGGGTGGGGGTATGGGTAAAGGAGGAAAAAAGAAACAAGTCCATGAGCAACCACTAGCTCTTTATGGGTTTTCCATGGAAGGAAAACCAAATAGTGCTTATCAGGAGAAAGGACTTCAGCAATGCAGTTACTCTGAAACCTTGCCCTTCCCAAAGCAAAGTTAATATGGACTTCCAGCAAAGTGATGCCAATGAAAGTGCTGGAGTTAAGATGGTGGCCAAGCTCGTTTTTCAGAAGTTTAATGTCAAGTGCCTGATATAGTCATCTGCAAGTCTAAGAAGTGCGTGTAGTTTTTCTCCTTCTTGCTTTAACTGGGGGAGAGTGGACATACCAGAGAGTGGAGTGAAAACATGCACGTATTTTATGCAGAGCGCATTGTGCAAGGTTGTTCTGCTGCAAGTGTGTTTAAGTGAATAGAAGGAAAGCGAAGGCTTTGTGTCAAAAAGAGGCCTGGGCCTCTTGCCTCTGAGACCAGTGCCTCATACTAGATGATGTCTGGGTGGAAAATGTGCTCTGGGGCTCTAGAAACTCCACATCCAAGGATGAGTTTAAGGATCTGTTTCTGCATCAATCCAGTTACCTTCTGTTCAACATGGAGGAATTAACACGTTCCACCTAGGTCAAAAGAACTCTCATGTGAAAAGTGTAGAGAACCTCACAGTGGACAGTGGATCCCAAAGAGAGCTTATCACTGCCACTGCACCAGGAGTGGCTGTACATTGAATAACCTAGTTTTGGTAGGTGCTTCCAGTGCCCCTGGGATCATCTTCTTCTCTGTCATTGTATATGAATGTCGTCCGCTCTATCAGTAGAAGGATGGAAAAAAATGGCTCAAGGTGAGGAGAGAGATGGGGCAGGGTTATCTCTCCCAATTTCTCTCTGTGTCTTCACCAGAGAAAAACTGGCTTTGCAATACCTGCACACAGCCCTCCATACCTCCCCTCCACCATCCCCCTTTAAGAAATCCACACATTTTTATTTTTTAAAAGGAAACTTTAATCTTTTTGGAATTAGGTGAAGCAGCGTAAACTTTTTCCTTTCAGAAAAATCCATTTCTTTCTTTCTTTGTCCAATAAGGAGAATCTTTTTTTTTTCCACTTTGCACAAGATCTACGTCTAGAAATGCTTATACTTAATTGCCTCCTCTCCTACTATCCAAAATTTCTCTCTCTTTTTCTTTTAAGACAAATAAGTTTGAGCAGTTGCAGTAACACTTCACAGGTGTGTAACTAGGAAGGCATCATTTTCAAAAAGATACCATATCATGAGAACTCCTAATGATCACTAAAAGTAAACAAATAAAAATGCCAGTCTCATTTCCCTCATTTCTTATTTAATAGAAGAGAAGTAAATGAAAGGAAGAAGAAATAGATTTGCAATTAAAAGATGTGGCGAAAAGAGCTGAACGAGTGCAATTTAGCCTTCAGGTGCAGGACTTTGAGAGTCCAAAGGAATGTGGAGTGGACTTAATTAGATGCAATTGTCTTCATCTTGAAAGTAGCCAGCTAAACCTAATTTCCAGTATTTTGAGAGATTCCTTTTTGTTTCTTTCAATGGTGCCCTTTTAAAGAGACACCGTTTATTCCAGCTGTTCCACACCACTGAGTGCAGAAAGAAAGATTGTGAACCTTTTACTATTCTTTCTTGACCACATTCTCTGCTATTGGCAGATTTATAAGGATATCAATAATAGCAATGATAAGTAATAATAGCTGCCTTGCATTAGTTAGAGGGAGCCTTTTTAATCATACAAAAATTTTTGTGACATGTAAAGTGCAGTTGTGAGGAATGTGTGCGTGTACGAAAATGTATCTGTCAAGTTCAGAGTCCTCTGGATTAAAAAATTATGATTTATCAATGGTGCCGTTATAGCTGTGTCAGACAATGGGTGTACCCATTCTCACGGTTATCCTTAAAACAAATCTATGTTCAAATGCTTTAAAAATTTATCACATGATACAAGAATA